TGATTTCACAATCATTATATTCACAAAAATTATATTACTAATTCTAACTCTCATGCACATTCCATTGCTTTCGTGTATAAGATTTGAGACGTTTAAGACGGCTGGAGGGATTGTTCTTGGACAATTCTTCCGTGGATGGGAACATTCTACAAAGTATTGGAGCATTGACTTCCCTCAAAATTTTATCTCTGTCTCGGTGCGGACTCAATGGCACCCTTCCCTTAGAAGGTAAACTTCAATGGCTTGTTTCGTAAACAATGTTTTCCATGACTTAGCATGCTAATAAATAAATTTTTTCTTCAATTATTTTTATTCACTCAATTTTAAAACTTTCCTTGCATCTCAGTTGAACTTTGGGTAAATGAATGCAAAGTCATCTCATGATTGTATCTCTTTTAGCCCATATTTGACAATCATTATTCATTAAAAACAATGTTTTGAATGGTGATTTTTAAATGAATGTGTAGTCAAAAAGTAGGAAAAAATCTTGGGTTTAAGTGTAGAATATTTTATTGTGTGAATATGTGGTTGCAAATGAGTATGTGAAAAAATGAGTTTTCAAACAATAATTGACAAACAGGGACTTAATAGAGGTAGTTACTAGTTACTATTAGATTTTTCAGAAAACACAAGTAGATATTGATTACTTTACTATCAAATATAGAGAAAAACGTGTGACAGATGAAAATGCATCAGAACATCACTTCGTAACAAAACTAGTATTTTATAAGAATAATATTACTTGTAAATAAGGAGTCATAACAAGTTTTACATATAGAGGAGGTGTCAAAAGAAAGTAGAGAAGATTTTTTTGTTAAAGAAATGATGATTCACTCGTATATAGGGATGCCAATGAGCCGAGCCACGAGAGCAAAAATGGTTCGAGCTTTTTTTGGCCCGAGCCGAGAAAAGCTCGATCAAAAAATTTAGGCTTGAGCGGAGCCAACTCGATTTTTTTTTTAATTCGTTGTTAAATCTAAATTTTTTTATTAATGAATATGTATTATAAATAATAACTAAATATTAATATATAAAAAAAAATACAGCTAAAATTTTAAAAACTAAAAAAAGAAATTACAAAAATAAAATAAAAACAACAGGCGGCTGTGACTGATGATAGCTGCATGCGTTGCAACTGTCAGTTGCCCACAAGCAGCTTTAATTTTAGCTGCTTGCAAACTATTTTTTTAATATTTTTTTTCAAAACTCGAGCTGGCATGTGACAGGGGCCGATGACGAGTCGCCCGAGTCGGCGAGCCATTTTGACATCCCTACTCATATATCACCATATTATATGTATGTATATCAATTTATAAGTGGTAAAGTAAATGTAACACAAGAGTTTATAATTAATATAATTTAAGAGGTTAGGCTAACATTAAAAGTAACTTAAGAGTAATTAAGTTTAACAATCTATAATTTTTTTAATTGGTGAGTGAAAATAAGTTACTTATCTTGATAGTAAGATAAGATTTATATTCAAAACTAATAGCCATCTTTCACAAATAAAAAATTCGATTTTAAAAAGTAACTTTCTTACTTAACCCTCGTTTGGTATTGATTTAAATCAGATTTTAATTTAAGTCAAAATCAAACAATTAATATTAACAATAATTTTATGGGTCCCACAACTTTCCGTCCACACATTTCAAAAACTTTTATCAAAATCTACTAAAAATCTAATTTTAATCTCACTACACAGGGGCTTAAAAGTAAGTTTAGAGAAAAAAAAAGTTGCTTTCCTCTTATAAGCAAGGCCTTTATATTCCCTATTTCTTTGATGAGTTTTGAAGTAGTGATGTCATTTGATTTGCATGCAGGGTGGTGTGAACT